GAGAGAAATCGTTTCACATTTCAACAAAATATCATAAGTGCGTTAACGTTAGTGGAATTAATTAGGATATAATGAGAAATCTACTGGCATGCTCAGTTGGATATCATTCTTATTGATAAGTTTTTTTAAACATTTAATCCATTTAAATCTTATTTTTATCAACTGACAAAGTTGTTTAGGTGAAGATGTCTTGATTTAGAAATTGAGACATAATCTTTTCTGCATAGAGTATCTTATCGTTAGGACATGCGTTTTAGTTTAAATCATCTTTCAATATTGTTAGATTGTGTTACCCAGCAATGTTCACTTCATTTATAAGAGCAGACTGACGCAGTGTTGTGTTATTAGACGAAACAATGCAGAAAAATGCGCATTGTACTCGTCTCTGTGTTTAGGTTCTTTTCTTAAAATATGTGCCTAAAACATGTATCAGAAATCGATGATTGAACTATTTTCAAGAACTGTTATTTGCTTAGTTCACAGATGACACCTCCATGGGTCTTTGTCTGGCTAATTCATTAATATCTCGACGCGATTTTGTCCCTTATGATCAGTTGGTTCGGTACAAATGGTGGTATCGACATGGTTACATGTCTTCAACTGGACAATGTTTCGATATTGGTAGTGCCACTAGCCAATCTCTTGGTGAATTCGAGCGCCGTCAACAATTATTTGCTGCCAAAAATCATATTCCTATTGATGAATTAGATTTTCTTTCAGAATCGGATCTGCTTACAAAATTTGACGTGTATTGCAGTGAAATTGGTGTAGCTGGTAATGGAGCACTTATGCGGCTGGCTCCGGTTCCTCTATTCTTCTATCGACATCCTGTTGACGCCGTCGAGTTTTCTGGGTTTAGTGGTGCCATCACACACGGTGATCCGAAAGCTTATGATGCGTGTCGCTATTATGGCGCCTTGATTGTGGCTGCTCTTCGAGGTGAAAACAAAACACAATTGCTGGATAACAACTTTTATTTAAACCACATATCATGGTTCAATAACAAGCCTCTCACTGAAGAGATTATGAACGTTGCCCAAGGATCGTATAAGAAGCCTGGTGGATATGCTGATGGTATTCGAGGCAAAGGATACATTGTTAGTTCTCTCGAAGCCGCACTATGGGCTTTTTGCTACGATGAAAATTCTTTCGAAAAAGGCGTTCTTGATGTAATAAATCTTGGAGATGACACTGATACAACTGCTGCTATTTATGGCCAATTGGCTGGCGCCTACTACGGTTATGACAAGTTGCCAGAAAAATGGGTTAAACAAGTCTATGCACACAGTTTTATTACATGTTTAAGCAAATGGATCGTTTATGAAGGTGAACTGTGGCAGCCAAAAGCTCCAATTCCGAATGGATCAGGATTGAGCTCTCAGTATCATTTAAATGTTATTCCACATTCTGCAGCTACGTCGAGTTCAGTATCAGACACTAGTCCAACAGATACTTACACGCCCATTTCTCAATTTAACAGCCTGTTCTCTAGCGAACCAAGATTAAAGGAGTCAATACGTTCGTCAGAAGTAACTTTGAATAGTATTCAACGTGTACCTTTGCAAGTACAATCAAGCAGAAATTCGAGCCCAAGAGCAACAGTACTTTCCAATGACTACAATTGCAGGACAAGATCTGCCAACAGTGATACAAAGAACTTCGACTTCAATAATGTGACATCATCTAGGTACGACCGTCCAACAGAATATTGTTGTAGTGATGTGCCAGCATTTTGGACTGGTATCGCCATCATAATTAGCTGTAGTGATGCACCAGTATTTCGGTCTAGTATTATCATCCCAATTAGCTGTAATGGTAGTGCAGCAGGATTACAGTGTGACTGCCGTGACCCAAATCAGGAGTCCCAACCTGCTGGCCACAACACATCTTCTAATGCAAGCCGAAGGTCACAAACCTAGCTTCTACTGATTCCACCATAGTCAATGCAATATCGCAACTCTATAAGATGCAGTAACTAGACAGTTTAGTAGTGTCTTAAGCCATGATTATTTTGGCATCATATGCTTTTGTCATCGGGAATGAGATATTATTAAAAACGAATGCTCTCGAAAACCGTATGCTTCGTTTTGCTATGTATTGAAATATTTTTATTTAACGCTTTTTTATGATTAATAGCTATGTTTACACATATAAAAAGTCATCGACTAACCTATAAAGCAATATCGAGAGGCACTATTCTACAAGCGCGTATTGAATCGACATGAATCTTTATTTTCTTTTGAAAGAGAGACGTTTCATGAATGGACAAGATTAAATTAAGTAAAATTTGTATGTTCGCTTCATTATGATAAAATTTTAATAGGGTGTCGGTGTGTGGTGCAGCTAAAAGTTTAGCTAGATGCAGACCCAAACTGGAAGAATCCACACCCACCCACACCCTCATTAGATATTTCTATTCCAAATACTCATTTTTATGAAACCGAATCGGTTGCAAACGATATTACAAAACGAACTCTTAATTATGAGAATGATTCACAATTAAATATTTTAGATAACTATAAATATTTAATTTAATTTAATTTACCTGAAGATATTGCCTAAATAGAAGCACATTTTATAAATGACAAAACATTGTTTCCGTCTGTTGTTTATTATGATACGAATTCATTTCCTCAATTTGCGATGCATTGAACATTGTTTTGTTTTATATAAAGGCAAATATTTCAAAAGTAAAAATACTTGAAAAAGTTCGATTCAATCAGTTGTTCGATCAGTTAATATTTTAATCTTCCAATCATAGAAACTTAGTTTACATCAAAAGATTTGAAATATATTATTTCCACATGTAACACCTTCATGATGATATATTGGTATCATGAAGATTTATGCAACAAATATTAGTTAAACACGAAAAATTGGTGTCGAAAAGATCATTTTAAAAAACGAATGATCTTTACGAAACAATCTAAATAGTTAATCATCATGGATGATTTTCAATCTCGTTGTGCCGTTTCAATCTTTGACTGATATTCGCAATAACTTCATTTGTTGTTGACCAATTTGAATATTTTTTTTTTTGATTCATTGTAAAAGTGTAAT